GCAGGAAATGACCTTGCGGGTGTTCGGAATGAACCTCAGGTTTCCCAAAGAAATCGGGGATGGTGTTTCTCGGGGTCATTCCAATTCTCATTCCCTGAGCACCAGCGTTTGAAAGAAGCGCTGTCAGTCCTTGGGGCTGCCGTTTTCCATAGACAGTGCAGACGACGACGGAAACCTCTGCAGTTCAATGAGTCAGCCATATGCCTATGACTTTTCAATGAACCACCGAAGTGGTTGGTAGACATGAATTCCCACCGAATTCTGATGCCCACCACAGGGTCCCCTATTTAAATACCCATCTCTCTGCTAGGAAGAGCAATGAATTCAGCTGAGAAGCTCCATGCTTCCAAGGTCTCGCAGCTTCAAGTCCTGCAGGTTCTGTTTCTTGGTCTCAAAAAGAAAGCAATAGCAAATATGTCGGCACAGGACCGGCGGATCGGCCAAAAAAGGCCTCGCAGTTCTGCCCCGTGTAAATTTCCAAGATGCCCCAAGTGAGGAGGGCTTGGCAACTCTATGCCTTCCTTGCCTTTGACTGACACAAGTAGCTTGCGTCGTTTCGGTGCGTTCACTCGCCCGGCCTGCTCAATCTCTTGGGAGCTGCGAAAGCAGAAGCAGAGCGCCACCTGGCAGAACTTGAGATCAAGAGAATACAGTCACGGTTCATTGTTTCAGATTGCACGTTCCCGAAGAATTGCCTTCCAAGACTCCGCCAAAAAAGGGAGCAAGCCCCGTGGGGAGCGCATTAGCTACAACCAGTTCTGATGCAGGTGAAGCTTCTTGGGGCCATTGTGCCTGAGCAACCTTTCGCCAGCTGCCAATTCTGAGTCCAACGGCAGTTAAAGGCGGCCCTTGGGCATTTCCTGTACGGCTCAAGAAGCCACTGGGACATCAATACGACAAGTTGCCGTGAATTCACAGGGCATCGCGTCCGGACAAACGCGGTCAAGCCACCACTAATGATGTCATCCCAGTGCCAAAAAGCATCACGTTCTGCACCAAACTCACATCCTCAACAGGAAGCAGGCGCGCACATCCACCATGATGCATGCATCTAAGGCAGCAGCCCAATGATTGCCACAGTAGAGAAATATTGCCTGCATCTGCCGGGGTAAGCCAAGGTGAGTGGGTTGGCGTCACAAAATGGTGCCTACATCTTTTTCTGACCACACCTTTGACATTCCGCGTTGGGAGATTTCGGGAAGAGGTTTACAGAGTTCAATAAACGCCGGTACAATGTCTGAGACCTTGGCACCAGAAAACCTCGAGCGTTGCGACGCGACTTTTGCGACAAGATACTGCGGAGAACAGTGGACCGAGAGAGGTTGTGATCTTGTTGGTGATTTGCCGAGCTCCGTTGATGTCTTCCTGAGTCACATTCTGTAGCCAGCCCAGGCATGTGCTGTCACCACCAACTCCAACCAAGGTTCTCTCTTGTCCTGGAACATGGAGCGGGCCCAGGAGGTTTCTAAGCACGAATTCCACAGGCCATTGTAGACCTAGCTTCAATTCCATGAGTCTACGAGCATGCCAAACAGAATTTCTCTGGGGATGGCAGAAAAAGCAAAGGCAATGGCAAATGATTTCATGGAGTCATGCTGCCTGCTTGCTTGCTTGCTTGCTTGCTTGCTTGCTTGCTTGCTTGCTTGCTTGCTTGCTTGCTTGCTTGCTTGCTTGCTTGCTTGCTTGCTTGCTTGCTTGCTTGCTTGCTTGCTTGCTTGCACAGCCCTCCACTTCTGGGTGTAGTTGTTTGGCAAGCTTCAGAATATGTATCAGGCAACCCTTAGTTGTTGCTGGTTGGTGGTTCTTGTTGAGGGTGGGACCCCCCCCCAAGCTCCTCATGTTCCTTATTTTTTGCGCAGCCGAAAGGGTACCTTGGAACTGAACATGTGAACTGACGCAGCAGCGCCCACCTGACACTGACTGTTGATAGCTCTGCATGTGTTAGCGGCTTCCATACATGCGTCAACCATTGCTCCCACTTAAACCTATGTGCACCATCTCACACTGGATCCAAAATCAGCACTGGATGATGTTGATGCATTTGTGGGTTTAATGCGTGTTTGCTTGCTTGCTTGCTACCGTCTTCCGTACACAAACACTTGCGCGCACGCACGCACACAAAGCAACAAAAAAGCAGCAAGCCAGCGAGCGAGCGAGCGAGCGAGCGAGCGAGCGAGCGAGCGAGCGAGCAAGCAAGCAAGCAAGCAAGCAAGCAAGCAAGCAAGCAAGCAAGCAAGCAAGCAAGCAAGCAAGCAAGCAAGCAAGCAAGCAAGCAAGCAAGCAAGCAAGCAAGCAAGCAAGCAAGCAAGCAAGCAAGCAAGCAAGCAAGCAAGCAAGCAAGCAAGCAAGCAAGCAAGCAAGCAAGCAAGCAAGCAAGCAAGCAAGCAAGCAAGCAAGCAAGCAAGCAAGCAAGCAAGCAAGCAAGCAAGCAAGCAAGCAAGCAAGCAAGCAAGTGCGCCTCTGCCGCTGGTGACAATTTCGCTCCAAAAACTATCGCCTTCTCAGCATTGTTAGGCTGTTAAGGATAGCATTCTCAGTATGTGCAAGCGAAAGGACTGTGCAAAATCACATGCAATGACTGCAAGAACTGCAATTACTAGAGTGGCACCATGTGTCATCTTCCCAAAGAATTTGAAGCAACAAAAACTGCATTGGAGACGCTTTCAGCAATGTACAAGAATGACACGAACACATCTCTGAAGATCTGCAAGCCAGGCACGGCCCAGGTGAAGTTCAGAAAGTAGGCAGCCGCAATGGAGCCCTCCGACAGGCAAATGACCTCAGCTGACAGGCTGAGGTGATCTGAGGGATGGCACGGATACGGGCTGGGTTGATCTAAAGGTCCGTCCTTATGAACATGGGATGACTATTGCGGAAGGAAAACCAAGAAGAAAAAAAACGATTTGTATTTCAACCACATGGGAAAAGTTTCCTAGGGTCATTTGGGGGCCGAAGGAAATATTGATCAGCCCCATATGTCAAGGATACTGGGCAGTTGGGGCTCCATGTGCTGACTGATTGTTGGTTTTTGCTGATGTCAAGCCCCTTTGTTCAAAAAGGCTGAGACAACAAATCGGCTGAAGAATTGTGTGTGTGGCTCAAATGTTAAGAGTCAGGGGACCGATCTCTATCCCTTCAGTGGGTTTATGGGTCTAGGAGAGCTCAAAGGTGGCTAGGGTCCCGGAAGACAGTACCAACCGTTTGCCAACCATTTCTGTTTTACTTCTTACCCACCATACGGGTTTTCCGCTTTTGCGGCTACCCTTTTCTGGTTTAGGGTTCCCCCAGTCTTGCTGGTGCTCAGCAGGGACTGCGGCTTCCACTTTGGGAAATCCCACGATGTTTGAGCCGAGCCCTTGACTTGCTGGTGCTCACTAGGAAGGAATGACCCATACTAACCATCCAACTGGTGGGTTCCTCTCAGGGGACCAAAGCCTTCATTCCCTTGGTGGTAAACGTCCTGATTTCGCCAAGATTCATTGACAAGGAGGCCAAGGACACCCACGATGCCGCTGACGATCCAGACCTTTACCGGATCCCCCCCTCCCCAAAAAAATGGCTCCACTTGTCCTTTTGGTCTCCATTTAAAGCCACCCCAACCAACCAAAAAGACACTCTCAAGAAAAGGACAAGACACACCCACATGCTGTCATTCAAGACATATGACGCTTGCATGGCTCCTGCAACCCTCTGTACCATGCTAAATAGAAGCAGTGTGTGCCATTCCTGCCAATGGCATTGCCTCTGGCTTTGCTGGCTCTGAGCCTTCATGGAACAATGCCAATCGGATGTCTGACAAATTATCCTGCGACTGCGGGCGGGACTCAACAGCAAAAGTGCACGACCCGTCCACTGGACTTCTTCCGAGCGACCGCATCAATGCCCAAGTTGTTGATCATAATGCGCCCAGAAGAAACGCCTCGCGGAAGCCACAAGAGCTGATTGACACGCAAGTTTCGTGCACGCCACAAAGCTAGTCAATCAAGACCAAGCATGAAGGAGAGATTGCATAACGAATTCAACATGAAACCAGCAGGGACAGGCTTGCAAATATTGTACTCAAACGACTTGTTGTGTGAAAGTGTGCAACGCGACATCTGCATACTTCTCTGCGCATCCCATAACATATCCTTCCTCGCCACCCCCCGCTCTTAAGCAAGGGCTATGTAGTGATTTGCCCACCGCTCCTACCACAGCGCGTGTGGCCCCATTCAGCGTCATCATGTTTGCCACAGCAATTGGATCCTTGGTCAAATTTGTCTGTTCACCTGAAACCGGGGACCCACGTTTCCATTTACATCCATTTACCAGGGTCCATTTCGGGGGTACCAAGACCCACATCATGCGGCCAGGAAGCATTTGTGATGATCAGCATGTAGGGCCCCAAGGCCTTGAACCACATGCCCTCCTTAAAGATATTGGAGACCATCTCTGAGAGCATCACAGCGTAGATGTTACCTAAAGCAAACACAGCGAGCAGCAGCAGAATGCAGAATCCCTAGGAGAATGTAAGTCAAGCCGCCATTGTCTACCGACCAGACAGCATTGAAGCCGTCTTTTGTAAGTGCCAGCATTCCTTCGTGATTCAGAGATATGTGAAGCGTACGGTCAAACCAGGCACTCCCTTGCAACATGAACCACTCAATTGGTCCTTTCTTGTCCTTCTTTCCCATGGCTCAGACTATAAGCCGCGAATGCCGCTCGCATCAGCGTGGGAAGGCACTGGCTTTTGTGTTTGTCTCAAGCAAGCCTATTTTCTTCACGTGTATGTCCAGAGTCTGATCCAGAAAGTGCAAGCAAGCAAAACCTTCTTGATTGCCTTACTAGTTGTCAAGAGTTCATCCTTTGCTGTGATACTGCCGGAATGTATTGGCCTGTTCAACTGCCAGCCTGCGACTCAAAACGCTAAACAGCTGCAGACAAAGTCAGCAATGCAATGATGCAAACAGCGAGGGCGACAAAGAAACGCCAGAAGGGCATGATGATCTTCCAATTCCAGCCTCTGGCCCTTCGAAGAACAGCCGCGCCCTGCGGCTCTGAGAAAGGATTTAGCTGCTGGGTGTATCCAGTTCAACTGGACGTGCGCCATGCTACGTAGTCTGAATGTGTGTTCACAGCTTCGGTCTGGACACGGCAGGACAAAATGCGCAGGTTGAATGGGAGCTGAGCTGGGGCTTCCATCATAACGGGATCTAGGCTGGTATCTCCCGCACCTGCCCGGCCCTAGTCGCTAAGGGGGCCTCCTCTCTCCCCTCCCCTTCCTCTTCTGCGCCTACCCGGCTACGTGTGAAAAAGAGCTTTTACCGGATCGATAAATCAAACAGTGCTGCTGCTGCTGCCGCCGACTCTGCCGACGCTGCTGCCACTGCCACTGCCGCTGCTGCCGCTGCAGTGATTGTACTCACAGAACTGTGTTTCTACTGCGGAAATCTGAAGCTCGCCAGATTTCGCGACTGGCCTGCCACTCAGAAAGGCATCATCGCAAAGAGCCTTGGCTCTTCGGCCCTCGACTTTCAAGATGGGAAGCATACCCAACGAACCTTACGTTCTCAGAGCGCCACGTCACTTGAGTCTTTGCAAGTGGATATCCGCAGTCCGGTGGCCTGGTTGGATGCAATGGGCTCAGTTTGGAAATGTAGGCAATTAGAGAGTACTCCTGATGCTAGCGATCTAAGATGCTCACGTTTTGCAGACCCAGAGCTGCACTAAGGGCGGCTTTCACCTGCAGTTGAGCATATTCAACACATGCAAAACACTGGCCTGAAGCGGGTATGCATTTTGGGGTTTCCAACGATTGACCCAGACCCATTTGGTGACGGCCTCGCCCAATGAGGCCCTAGATGCCACAGCCACCGCCAGGCGATGCCCTGTTCTCGCCTTGGCGCTGGTCACTTGCTACGATTGAACTTCAAGGGACGGATGCCAAGGAGGTCTTCCCAAGGTGGGTCTAACTTTTTGGCTGCGCTCCGGACCCGAAATGGTGGACATCCAATTCCGGGATTCAGGTATCCACCAACCACTCTTTGATCGTTGGTTCCCGAACTGAAAAGCGTGGCCACATTGGGACACTGCTCTGAGCCAGGCACGTGCTCCATCTCGACCATGACAATGTCGGCATCAAAGTCCTAGCGGTGTTTGAAACCGGAGTCACTTCGAGACAGTTGCAAAGGACAGCGAGAGACAACGCACGCACCCCGGACTCGGCGCACTTAGAATAAGCTCATGAACACAAAACTGATTGGAAACAACTTCAAACATCCTAGCAACTTTGCACGAAGTAAGGAGACAAAATGCCAAATGACAAAGCTCTGTTCAGAAAATGCTGCTTTCAAGACTGTCCTGATCCGGCTCTTGCTCCTGTTCTGGCTCCATTTCAGGCTCTGGATGGGCCTCCCGACATGGAAAGGCAATAACAGAATAACACTGAAGCACGCTCGCCGAATCGCTGCCTGCTGCTCAAGTTCTCCAGTAACCTTCGGCTAGCATCGCCAACCCATTCAACGATGAAGGACGTGAAGGATGGGTGATATTCCCGCCTCCTGTTTGGTGCTCTCACTGTCCAGCTCTTTGTCTGGTAGCACTTGTGCCAGGCTGGAGTCTGGATCTTCCTCCAGGACTTCATCAAATATATCCTGCTGCGCAGTCCTCATTCGAGATACTAAGTCACAGAAACTTTCAGCCCACTTGTGGATTGTAGATCCTGGCACTGTTGACAAAGTGGATGTGTCGAGCTCCTCAAAGCCTTCAAGAATCCAGGGCGGCTCCCAAGAAGCCAGCAGTTCACTGACAGCATCAAGACTCATAAGCCGTTCTTGCACCTCTGGATTCTCCAACAGCTCCATTGCCGCCGTGAGCAAAGCAATGGATTCGCTGACTTGGGGACCCTCATTGGCTTCGATGTTCGTCTCTTCCATCTGCTCTTCGCCCTCCACACCAGCCAGATCTAAGCCCACAAGGAGCAGCTCATGCTTGCCAACTATGTCGGCTATGGCGTCTTGATCCTCCAACGGCAGGAAGAGAACCTCCGTGAAGCGACGAACCAGGCGAATATGAGCGGCTACAGCACCTCCACCACAGCGCTTGGTCAGCATTTCCCGCAGCAAGCCCACAGTCCCATCAGACGGAAGAGAGATGTGGAAACTTCCACCCAAGCCTCAGTTGCCCCTTAGGGACCCAGACATATAAGGTTCACCTTTTGGGACCATGGCTACTGGACCAAAATGGGAAAACCGAAAGATTAAAAGATCGACTTGCTTTGGACTAAGAGGCCATCTGCGGTAACAGACTGAACACGCACCGTCAACTGTGGTCCTTCTGTCTCCTTTGCCGCAGGCTCCAAGTCGGCCAGCAGGCGAATGGGCGAAGCACCTGCAAGCAGCTCGCTGAGACACAAATTGATTCCACGGACATAGGTGGAAATCCAAAAGATCAGGTGCGGTGAATTGAATTGAACCAACCCGGAGTACAACAAAAAACGTGAGCAAGGGCAAAAACACCACCACTCTGCATGCTTATGCTATTTATGATACACCAAGCGATGTGGTTCACGCTGCACATGTACATAGACTTGCTGCGTATGCTGTCTTATGCAAAACACTTGTTAAACATCTCGACGGCTCTTGACAAACGCTTGGCTACAAGCATTAACACTTTGTCCAAAACACCCACATCATGTTGAGTGAACTCCTTGAAGCTGAATAGATCGAGATGGATTAGCTCACCAAATCAATGCATTGTTTAGAGCACAAACAGCACAACAACATGCACATTAGAACGCATGGAAGCCTTTGTTTTTCAGCACGGACAATGAACTTGAACTTGTTGCAAAGCTGCTGCAACAAGAAATATTGTGAGAAGCGTGCCGGCCTCATCACGGCTTGTGTTTTGGGGGCATAGCTCAGACATATCACGAAGTTCGCATCATGAAACATGTTGAGAAAGGCTACCTGCGGCAACAACATCCACAGCTCTGATGCACCGTTTTGGGACACTTACGCCAGCCTATCGCCAGTTTAATCAGCATATTTACAAACGCCAGGCTCGCACAACTTAGTTTGCCAAATTGACTTGCAAGTGCTTGTCGAACCCTATCAGGCAGCGGGAGCAGCATTCTAGGCTATTAAAAAATTTGGAGTTGAGCATATTGAAAGAAGGTTGAACAAGTGCAAGCTGGCACCACAAATTGTCATAAAAAACAACGGCATGTTTCACAATGCGAGCGAGAGAAACACTAAAGCATTCATGAGACTGAAAGAAGTCGAGGGGCAGTCATGCTCCTTCCATCTTTTGAACGGCTTCCCTCTCAAAATGAGTTAGTCCTGTGCATGATAGTTTGTCCTTCTCACAAGGACATCTGAGCAGTTGGGCTTTTCAGCTAAGCGAATGTGAAGGCCTGTTTCGTAACCCAATTCAGCCTCAATACCTGAGGCTGGACACGTCCGCTGCCCTCTGCTTTCATGATTCCTACCTCCCTTCAAACATGTGCAGGGTCTTGGGCCTGGTGGCGTGTCCCCGATACGGCCATCCACCAAGTGCAAGAACTTGTTCAGCACCTCAACCTGGATGAATCAAAGTCAGCAAGGATGGGAAATCGTCGAGCCGAGCCTGCCAGTCTGTTGTACCCGACGGCAACTCAAAGAGCAAGGTGTCCTGAGCACGTTCAGCTGAGAGACGGAAGTCAAAGCATGCCCTGTCAAATGCATCAAGCACAATCAAGCGTGCCCCTTTCGCGTCATAAAGGTGATACTCATCATGTCCAACTGGGAGCCATTGGCATGTCATCCATGTAGCTTTGGCCTGTTGGACTGGGAGTTTCAGCAACAGGGCTGTGGGAAATGACCACTTTTGTGATACAACAGAAAAGGCTTCCCCAAGACTAACTCCCCATACAAAGGGGGAGACTCCCTTGTACTACAGAGGTGGGGAGAAATCCCTTGATCCCACAACCCTGTTCAGCAACCCCTCTCCTGTTCCCGTTCGGCATGGGCAAGCACCTGGCACCAGCAGGATTATTCTGCCAGGCCATCTATGAGCAATCAACCTAGCTCAACGAAAGCGGGGACTCTTCTGGGAGTCGAGACTGAATTCTTGGTCAATGCCACCCTCCAATAGCTGCATGAAACATGCTGGCCCAAATGAATGCCAGGTTTCAGGTTGGCATGTAGGAACATTCAAAGTGGTGCAGGGCTTCATCCATCATTCCAACAAATTTCAGCTCAAAACCCAGCACGTTCTAATACAAGCTTTGCATGCCTCCTTGCTGCTCTTGTCTTCCTGCTCTATGCGACTATCCTCAACGTCTTCAACTTCTTCTGCGTCTTCAACTTCCTCCACGTCTTCGACCTCATCGTCTTCGACCTCTTCGACCTCCTCAACGTCTTCGACCTCTTCGACCTCTTCGACCTCTTTGGCATTCACCACTTCCTTAACCTCTGCGACGTCTTCAACCTCTTCCACTTCTTCCATCTCTTCCTCTGCTTCCTGGTCTTGAATCTTGGTCTGCTCTGCCACCTCTGCCACCTCTGCCACCTCTGCCACCTCTGCCGCCTCTGCCACTGCTGCCGCCTCTGCCGCCTCTGCCACTTCTGCCACCTCTGCCACCTCTGCCACCTCTGCCACCTCTGCCACCTCTGCCACCTCTGCCGCCTCTGCCACTTCTGCCGCCTCTGCCGCCTCTGCCGCCTCTGCCACTTCTGCCACCTCTGCCACCTCTGCCACCTCTGCCGCCTCTGCCACTGCTGCCGCCTCTGCCGCCTCTGCCATTTCTGCCACCTCTGCCACCTCTGCCGCCTCTGCCGCCTCTGCCGCCTCTGCCACTTCTGCCACCTCTGCCACCTCTGCCACCTCTGCCTCTGCCGCCTCTGTTGCCTCTGCCACTTCTGCCACCTCTGCCACCTCTGCCTCTGCCACCTCTGTTACCTCTGCCACCTCTGCCACCTCTGTCACCTCTGCCACCTCTGCCACTTCTTCTAGTGCCACTTCTCCTAGTGCCACTTCTCCTAGTGCCACTTCTCCTAGTGCCACTTCTCCAAGTGCCACTTCTTCCTGCAAGTAGGCGGTGGTGCAGGCAGCAGACATCTCCGTGGCACAAATGGCCCAAGGGAAGACTGAACACCAGCCAGCCTCATTGTCAGGCTGCTGTCCAGGCGACTTTGCCGGCTCCTCGCAAGGAATCCCCAGCACACTCGAAATGTATGCAGTGATATGCAGGTCTACATAGTCTTATCTCAACGAGTATGCAAGATGTTGGGCAACATTGCAGCAAGGCTCCATGCAGTGAAAAGACTCGATTCGGTATCACGGTGGTGCTTCTTGGGCATTCATTGTAAGGACTGCCGTCTCTGCATGTTAAAGCGCCATAGACTGCGCTTAGCAATGAATCAGACCCATCAACACTCCACAGCCAGCCTCCAGTGCATTGGGGAAAAGGTAGGCGAAGTCATCTGAGTCCTAAAACATCCGGGCACCCCAATCCACTCGTCACAAGAAGCTGAGGCAGCTGCATCCGGCAGCAGCTCTGCCGCCTCGTCTTCACTTACCCACAGCATCCTGCACCGATGGTCAAGGGGCCCTCCGGTCGCCCCCCGCTTGGTTTTGCCTTTAACAGGAAATCAAATCAAAGCCGGTGCCATTTTGGGGGTTCCCCGATGTTGAGACAGTCTCGTGTCAAGCAAGGGACAATGGCCATAGCAAAAGCAACCCATGACTTTCGCCGTCCTTCGACGATCCTCGAGCATGGCATCATCCCTTGCAAGTAGAGAAAGTTTACCACTAGAAGTCAAGCCTCCGTACTGGGGCCACAGCGCTAGAAGGTCTACAGCTATCGAATCGCCAATGGTCGCTGCCATCATGCCCTTTCCAGATACCTCTGCAGGTGTCCATATATTGCATCTGGTACGTTTGACAACGTAGTCTCAATCCATTGCAGGAAACTCTCTTGCAGCGCGACGCAACTTTTTGCCGCCAAGAAAAATATGCATGGAAGCCAACAATAGCCTGAAAGCTAAGCATACAAGTTGAGCGTAGCCCTGGCAAGCAATGTCTGTGCCTATCCCTGCGCTTAGGACCGACATATTGCGCGGGCGTTGAGGTTACCACGAATGGGCGACTATCTTGGGTGCATCTGCATCTAGATTGCTTGTCTAAGTTGGAGCCAACGGCATCTCACTCCTCATCTCCACCGTCCTGCTACCATGCGCACGGCTTCCGGGCCAGCGCAAATTGAATGTGATTGAGAGGCTCGCAACCCAGCACCTGCAGAGCACTTCGATATCCACCAGGCTGTCCGATCCTTTGCAAACCTGGCAACACCGCCCACAATATTCCCAATATTGCCTTGGAGGCAAACTCATTTCCTGAAGCTGTTCCGTGGTAATGCAAAATGGATGATTTCCGCACCCAGCAGTGCAAAGCAAACAAACGTCAAATGTCGGCAGCTGTAACCGACGCCAAAAGAGTCAGGTCAGCATTTTCGAGCAGCTTCTCGAACACTGGGCAGCTCGTCCTGGACAATTCAAAATCAAGCATCCTGCGCGTGGGGAAAGGGGAAGAGAGTATGGCTCCTTTTGCTGCTCGTCAATGAGCTCTGCAAAGCTTGAGGCGCGCTCCTACAAAAACCACACGATGCCAATGCTCACTTTGACAAAGCGGTTCTATGTGCACCCACAAGCTGCAAGCGTCATGGCCTCCAGCGCTGCCAAAGCTTCCATTGCCTCAGAGATTGCAATGAGCACAGCTCAAGCCCCCATTCTGATCTGAGCGAGGCACTGCGATGCGAACTTTTGGATCCTCGCCTTCAGCTTGAAGTCGCTGAGCAATGACAGTGGCAAAATAAGGGCCTCGAGACCAAGTCCCTTGGGGACAGGAGTCGCGCCTTCAAATCTTATCGCAAGCCGCTTGATCAAGGCTGACGCCTCTGTCTCGCATGTTGGCCAACGCCCTGACAGCAGCTGCTCGAACATCCGCACTGATGTCTGTGAGCAGGTTGAACACCTGTCGACTCTGTCGACTGTCGTCTTGGTTTCAAGACTGCAACTTGAAACGGAATGGAAGCGCATGGAGCAGAATTCATGTTTAATCGAGTGACTGCTAGAGTCCTCTCCTTAGCCAAACGTCAGATCAGGCCTTGTGGCTGTGCTCCGCTCCCTCATCCCCAAGCCTCAAGCGAACACGAGGTGAAGGCGGAATGTGTCGTGGACTGAGACTGGCGCTGCGCTAGCCCAAGAGCCGCTGCGGACTTTACTGCAGGACATTTGTCCTTGCCGAAGTAAATACAAAAACACGCGAATGTGCATCTGAGCCTTGCAAACCGCGTGTGCAACAGCAGGGTACCTGTTGTCTGCCTTATTATGTTGTTGTCTTGCAAGTTTAGTGTTTCTTCTCCCTGGCTCCCTTTTGGCTCCTCAAGAAGATCCGCCAACTTGTTCAGGCTGATGCTCTCAACCTCCCCAATGCTTCCCAAAGCTGCCGCGGCCTCGGATCCCGAAAAATCGCAACGTGGAGCTGACGAGCTGCTGGCGCCTTCGCCCGCACAATGTATCGTTCATCGCCGAGTTGACCAAAGATCTGCGCATGGCGCATGTGAGCTGAGCCATGTTCAAGCACATGGCACCTTGTCGACATGTTCTCGCGCTCTGCCGCCTGCCATTGTAAGGATCAAAAGGAACTGCAATGCTTCAGCGGCCTAGTTGAGCAAGGCATTCGAGTGCGCAGGTTTTCACTTCCCAGTCATCCTCGTCGAGGAGCCTCTCACGATGTGTTTGACGATGTCTCAACACTTGCTCTTAACTTGGGCGCGTCTTTCTTAGGGTACACACCCCCGAAAAAGGGAGTGGTTGTCTCATTGATCTCCCTCCAAAAACCACCAAAAAGGAGTGCCCTCGAAGCAAGATACACCCACTTGCAAAGGGAAGTTCCGCCTGGCAACTTGTGCAGCGGCTGACTCCCATCCAAAGCCCTTGTCCACGGCAGCAATGCGAGACAGCGCCGCCTCAATGCGCAAGGCACGGCGCCGGATGCAAACTTTTTGCATGGTTCAAAATGTTCAAACATCTACCCTAAGCCGCACACTGCTGCTGCGCACTTGGCCTTTCTGCAGGATGGGGGCAAGCGACTTCGGCATCCACCTGGACGGGCGCTTGCCACTCCAAGCTGTAAAGCGCTACCGCCCCAATGATTGAAAGAATTTGTTTTGCCTAGCCTTGAGTAAGGGCATTGTCGGCATCTTCTTCGAAATCATCCATCAGTGCATCCTCGCAACAAGGATCAGACTAGAAGCTCGGCTGTCACTCCAATGCTTCTCCTGGATGATATCTTTATGTGCAGATGCCTCATAGCCCATGTAACCTGGCAGTCATGAAAGTCAGACTCCTCACCTTTGCGCAGCAAAAGCTACTGGGGATCCCACCAAGTGCAAGCAGTGCGGCAATGCGCCTCCTTCCGTCCTGTCACGGCACAACTGCCCAGTCCAAAGGAACACGTGCACAGTCTGCCAGTTCTCAGTGCATTGCATCGCAATGCGCGAAAACAGTCCGGCTGTGGCTCAAAAAATGGTAACAAAAATAGCATGTGGGAAAATGAGAAACAATGACTAAATCCTGAATAATTAATCCTAGGTCTTTCATTTTGAGCCACACCCGTCTGGTACCGCCTCGTCCCTGACAAGCTCGAGGATGCGATTTACAATGGCAGGTGCCTCAAAGAAAGGGTACGTCAGCATAAGATGAAGAAACAAGTGCAAAACTTGCGCCGGCATGGAATACGCATCAGAATCGCTCTTATACCGAACGCATGTGTCAAAAATTGCCAGGGCACGTTTCTCACATACTCGGACATCTTTCCAACCTGTCACTGGCTGCTGCTATAGGCTCACTGCCAACGAGGATCAAGCAAGCCAGCTTGGCAATGGCAGCAGCAAGAACACGTGTTTCAGCATCGTCATCGCACAAGCACTCCACCACATCTGCGCAGCAGGCGCCACCTGCACACAACACGAGATGTCCGAGATTGTGAACGCAACTTGACAAATACACCTGCCTTCACGACCCATCAGGCCCAGCGCCTTTAAGGCATTGCTTCGAGCGCGAGGCTGAGCAAGCCTCACATCGGTGATTTCTGTCGAACCCTTAACGCTTGCCAGTGCCACTTCAGCAGCGCCCAAAATGCATGAACTTCGGTTCTACTGAGATGCAAATGCTTATCACGGTTTATACAGACCTCACTACCCCCATAAAACCAGGTGGGAGCCGAACCACCTACAAAACATGCCTATTTGGAATCGGCTTTGGGTCCTCAATTCACTGCCCTAAAGACTTGGCTTCCCGCTTCTGCGCCACAGTCGGCGCACATGAGTCAGCGCCCACCTTCCTGTACAAACCACAGCCATAAATATGGATGTGCCTTTAGAAAGAACCCCCCAAAATGTGTTTCCTTCTGGTGCTCCTCTCAGAAAAGACACACCAACACCCCCCTGTCATATCACCTTGGCCCCGAAGGCTTGCATCCTGTGCATACGGCACAAACATGCCGGCAGCACGCAAGCGCCAAACAAGCTGCTCCTTGTACTTCTGGCGAAGCATCCTGGTAGCCACCAATCGGAGGTGACTTTCTAGCGCAAGCCAAACAAAATCTGGTGATAGCTACTTGGTATGTGTTGCTTGTGCCTACAAGCGAAACACCGGACATGTGTGTTACAGCAGCATGTTTCATAGAGGCAAAGGCTTTACAAGTCAGCTATATGTTGGGGGGGTGGGGCTGGGGAATAAATATTTGCAACTCCAGGCCGGCGTGTTTGGTGCGGGTGTGAGGCCATGAAAACCCTGAGCTCGCACAGGCCTGTCGCCCTTTTGGGAGTGGAAGGGAGGAGCCAGTTTGAGCGGTTACTAGCTTTGTAAGGCGTGCGAGGCAGCGACGAAAAGATCGACTGTGCAGTCTGCTTCACTCTGCTCTTCAAGTGGGCGAGGAGCTGGAAGCAGAGGTACGTAGACTACGATGCATGAGACTGACAAGGTTCCACCAAAGCTGTGGCTGGAACACAGTGGCTGCACCACTGACAGGGTGACTTCCAACCCGACCGGTAGGGGTTAGATGACGAGCAGTCCTCAGGCAGCCCGACCCAAACAGCGGAGGTCCAGACATGGACACTCCTGGAAGCCTAAAAAGAGCAGCTGTTCCCGGTGTTTTGCTTTTGGCCTCTTCGTCCAGACGAAAGACTTTGTCAAATCGCGATGGCAGGGGCACAGGAAGTGTGCGAGTGAACATCATGATGGCCAGGTTGCTGGCTGCGCGAGGACTTTCCCAACTCCAGGTTTGTTTGGCTGACATGCTGTTTGGTTTGCACTTGCTGCTGAATGGGTGCTAAACGCCGCGTCGTTCATGAACGTTTGATTTCAAAGCCATAACTCACACAAACCTACTCTCGGCATTCGTAAAAGCAAGGCACTCTCAAAACCTTTGAGCAAAGCCCTTGCCCAACTCTTTGCTCAGGTCAAGGCCGTCAGCATCTGCTTCAAGTCTTCAGTGCAATCGTCAGCCTCCGTCATGCGATGCGGTGAACCAAAGTGCCATAATGCCGACTGCAGCTGCAGCTGTTGTTTCACACAAGACCTGCCTTTATTCCACCCAGAGCTGAGCAGGCACCAAATCGAACTGCTTCAGATGGATCTTGGAGGAGGCTGCACATGCGTCCTTTCGATCCTGACCATGGATTTGCGAACTTAAATGGAGCTTGCCGGCTGGCCGGCTGGCCGGCTGGCCTGACGCAGCGCTTCCCATGGATCCCACCGCCAGACAGCCCCAGTACCGCACCTCAACACGTGCTCTCCTTGGTTTGAGCGCGATGCGTCTCTCTTGTTGTGCCTCCGGGTTAGAGTCATGCGTCAGGCCAGCAAGATCCTGCACTGCATGGCCAAGAATCGGAGATCATTCCACTACACCCTGCCTGATAAAATGGAGCCGCTGACGAGCCAGCCGCCATGATAGCTTTGCATACCTGAGTGGTACTTCCAACGAAGACACCATGCATTCGGCGCTGGAGCGCGCGTCTCAGCCGGCCACTGCTTGCTTCACCTCCGGGCTATGACTCCGATGCAGCTCGGCCACTAGGTGGTCCTGATACAAATGTGAGGAGAAAGGCTCAGCGGGGTTTGCAAGGCTCAGCTCGTGACGAGGTGGTTTGCTACAAAGCTCTCACCCTGACAAAATGGGTCTAAAAGCCGAATGCACATGCGCAGCTTTCCATGCCTTCGCGGCCAAATCACTGATCGCCACAGCCTGACAAATTCGTCATGACTTACCGCCTGGCCTTGTCAAAGCTGGTTGCCTTCTGCTCATCGGTTTTGGATGTCAGCTCATAGGATAGCCCTTCCCTGGACGTTTCAAAAGCTTGAGATGCTCTCGAAACACAGATGCACATTGCATGGAATGAGCCCCCGTATGCCCTGTCCAAATCCAAATGGCGTGCAAAAGATCTATCTGGGGCGATGCACCTCTTGTCATTCCAACCCATGCAAAGCACATATCCGGCCTAGTGAAGCCTTGCTGAACGGTCAAAGACTTGTCAGTACCAGGTTGTCGGACTGCCTCGGCAAGTCAACATCCGACTATTAGCAGTGTAATTATAAGGGATAAGACTCAGCATTTCTCTAACTGGTGGGTTGGATTGGTGTCCCATTTACCCAAGAGCCAGGAATTGAAATCCCCAAATCACCAATCCGAACCACCCATTGGGTTGCCTGAAAATTGTCATCTGAGGCTGCATCCAGTGCCATGTGGTCAAGCAGGGGGATTCGATCACTCCCCCTTGAGCTGCAACGGCCCAGGTGTTCTTGGCTGCCATACGTTGCTGCTAGGCAGCCAGTGCGAGCGCTCAGTATTCTGCAGAAACATCTATAGCGCAACGACCAAAACACAGACATAAAAAAAAGAAGAAAAAAAAGAAGAAAACAAAGCGATGGGAATCGATGCATACAATCCCATCGAGCCTCAGCGACCTGCGAAGCAGTCGGCATGATGCCTGTGGCCTTCCAGAAAGATTGAGCAAGCGTGTTCAGCCGCACTGCTGCAGCCTCCTTCGTCAAAATCTGCCACGCCACTGCTTCTTTCACCTCGCAGGAGGTAAAACACACCGCATTGACACAAACGAGAAGAGAACGCATCAACTAAACCAACTTTCCTTGCTAAGACAACTGGGGACCGTCTGATAGTATGAGATGGATTCATATGAACTGCAAGATGTGCTTGTGTGCCCACCAATTTGAAACACGACATCCACCCCCTGTACCAGAAGCATTTGTTGATGCGGTTGATGGGCTTTGTCCCATGCATCATTGCCGCATGCAATCTGAATGGCTCCGTCCCAAGACCTCAAGACTGGCGTAACATGCAGTAAGATGCAGCATTCGATTCATGGGGGCCGCGATTCGGATTTGTGTCAGCCCAGCCTCTCGCACCGTTGCCGTCCGCAGAACTTGCACCATGACCTGCCAGGCTGGGATGGTCCCTGATGCAAGCTGATCGGGCTCCAGTGCAACAGTTTCAGGAAAAAGCGCTGGTTCCTCACACCTCAAATCCCCCAGCATCATTGCTAGAATCTGAACCATTTACTTACCGATCTTCCCATATCTGGCAAGCTGTTAAACAGTTTGAGCAGAAGCTAGCTTCCTGAAAAGACATCCGATCACGAGTCTCGGCTTCACAGATTGAGAGGAGAATGAATTTCTCTAGCAGGATCCCAGTGAGAAGTGGAGGGGCCTGTGATCGCATTGCAAAAGGAGACAGTATATACACAGCTTGTAACTCAAAATACTCGGCATCATTGGAGAACCTCTCTGACTGCAATAAGAGAAGCAAGCCAGAAAACAAGAAGAAAAACAAAGAAACAATGGAACAGAAAGGCAAGAAAACAGAAAGAATGCAACCATGCGGAAAGGCAAACAAAAGCAAAAAGGAAAGAAAGAGCCGCCTCTCCATTTGGGATGTCCTTCAAGTCGTTGATCTGTACATGGACCTGTACCTGAGCAGTCAACCGGCGACGAACCCGCAAAGTAGCTTCCAAGCCTCTTCAGCCTGCTCGACGTCTGCCGCCTAGCAATGAAGCAGCAAAGGTTGGCAGGAAACTATCCAGTTCGTCAAAATGCAGTCGTGTACGCCACACATGGAATGCTGCCGGTCTAGCTGCTGGACTCTTCAGGACTTTGATTACCCTTGAGTCACATGCCGCTGTGCCTTCTCTGGCAAGTCTGTGAAATGCCTGGCCATGCGACGCCGTGCCAACGCACTGGCTGCTAATATGACGTCCCAATGCATGTTCCCTCTCTCGAACCATTTACCGACATTCGAATGGCCTTCTTCCCAAGCGTTCCAATGCATTGCTGGCATCGACACTTGCGGATTCCTGCGTGAAGCCAAACCAGGACCTGGGCGCGACCCATCGGATTCGACCTGGACGAAACCGCCTCACACCGAGGAGTCGCACCCCAGCGGAACTCTTAGAAGATGCTCACACTCTTCTGCCAACATGGCCACAGCCGGGTCCTGCAAACTCTTGGTTCAATGTTTCTTGGTCGGTTCGGGTTCCGAAAAAAGTCCTGTCTGTTCATCCACACATCTTCGAACATCTGCCCAAAGCCCTCCTGGTGCAAGGCATAAGCTGTCACGAGCAAATTTATGCAAGGCTGGCTTTTTGAGAAGCTGCTCTCGCTTTTGCTGGGAATATTATTCTCAAGAAACGCCCTGGAGCTTGTAGAATCCCGCAGTGGGCTCTCGGAAGGGGTTTTCGCTGGTGATCCAAGCTGTCATTCTGCCAGTCCTTGCCAGACTTGTAGCCAAAGTGCTCATTGACCTGATATCACAAGCCCAAATCCGTCACATTGTATTACAGCCATTTATTTGGCTCTGCGTTAAAAGGAATGTGCGCGAAGGAGCTCATCCATAGGCATTGCGGGATCCGGGCACTGAGACCCAAGCCAGCTCCTTGCAAGCGACGGCAAAGTGCATGCCGAGACCTCGTCACGCGGCAATCGCCGTCGGAGTCTCGTGGCAACTCAGGGCCGGTGGATCGTCTGCAACAAATTGAAATCAACTCAATCAGCCGTATGAGATAATCATCAGCCGCCATATTGGGGATATCAGCTGGGTCCGACTTTCCGGGTCCGAGTTTGGTCCCATTGAAGATTGCAAACTCAATCAGCTCGCTGTTGCTCTTTCCTCCTTGGTGTTATTGTCAACACTTCAGAAAAATCAGGCAGTAATCAACTGTGGTCAGTTTGTTAGTAAAGTATGACAGCAAGCTGTGTGTTTGGGCAGATCAAAGCAAAAGCGCAAGCTGCAGTCGAGAAACATGCCCTATTCATAAAACCAGAAGCAAGTGTGCCACTTGTCTCAAGTACAATTCTGTGATCTAGTGCCTACGTGTTTTGTCGTGGACTTGCAAAACTCTGGCCGCGAAAGTCGGCAATGAGCCAATGCACAGTGAACGCACCGAACCGCAGTGCGCACCCTGTCGACGGCTTGTATCTGGAAGATGGCCAATGGCATCTAAGTTCTCCTTGCCAGCAATCTCTGACGAGGAACACCCAAAACTGCCAAGGACGCTTCCAGGGCTCTGAGTTTGGTGTTGGGGCTGATGATCACGTTTGGCCCACTCAAGCAGCCAAGGAATGACAGGTCATGCACTCTCCCGTGGCAAGGTTTGCCTGATGCACCAGCTTCCATGCAAGTGGTCAACCCAAAAATGTGGCTTGATGCATGCGTCCTGGAACTGCGGGGACTGCAGCAAGGTCAGCATGCCAGAAAGCAGCTCCTTGTTGTGATGGGGTGGCACAGCATAACCTATTTTAACCTATTTGGGAAAGCGGCTAAGCCCTCCTCATGCAATCACTTAGAGGAACATGTTACACATTTCATGGCTTCCTTTCCTGTATGAAACTCGCATCACCACTAGTGACCAAGAGGAGTCCACATGTCTCTTACAGCCTTGGCACAGGCAACCGCGTGTAACTTACTCAGTTTTGCACCTCAGCCTGCTCCGGGCTGAGGCCACCCTGCGGAAGTTGAGTCTCCTGGCAAGTCGGCTGTCGGCTGACTCGGCCTCGAGATTGATCGCCTCCAGGCCAAAGAAGTCCCCCGGCTTGAAGCGTAGCGCTTGCTCCACATCGCGCGCCGCCCTGGCGGTTGCACGTCAAACACGAATTGGACATGTGGCGCAGAACTGAGCACCGGCCGCCTCCTCACTGAGTCTCGTCTACCATAGGCGCTGATCACACGGAACATGGCCTCAGCAAAACCCGGTGCCTCTGAGAGATGTGTAGACCACATGTCGCCTGAAATCCATCCTCGCCGGCCGAGAACCCTCGTCGCTCCAGGGCGGTGCCCCAAACCTGAAGTCAACAAAGATCCATTTCACAATTTCACGAGTGCATTTTAAGAATAGGTGAGCAGCTCTTGTGAGTCCTTTAGCGAAGAGCTCATTGCTCTCTTCTTCCCAGTTCTCAGCCTGTCGGACCCGTCCGATTTCACGACTCACGGCTCCCTTACACCAGTCGCCAGTCAGCCGATCACTGTTTCTTCAACTTGCCTTGGCTGCTCTGCAGGCATCGATCTGGTCTAAGACCTCAATGAACTTCTCATCCTCGGCTCGTGTTGGAAAACTGGCGGAGTCAAGAAGCTCCTTCGCAACGCCTTGGTGGCCTGATGAAGTTCCAACAAAAGCAGCACGGCCTGTGTTTGCACAGGATGGCAGCACACCGCAACCAGCTCAATCTGGTCCACCACAAAGAATGGAAGGCACAGATACTGTGTTCTCCCAATACGCGAGCTTTCAGTATCGAATGCAAAGCACGGGGCGCCTGCTGTGGCGGCAGTCGAGCTGCCTCAGCAAGAGGCACTATGCAAGAATCCGAGACATGCATCAAGCAGCGGATGGGTCTGGATCCAAATAGGGTAACCCAAAATGGAACCCTGGTACATGGAAACAAGGACTCAAACCTGCTGTCCCCTGGTCAGAGATTGGATCACGAGTTGGGGCCGCGGCCTTTTTGGCTTCCGCGGCTGCCGGTGACCACGGCGCGGCTTGTAAGCCTCTGTCAGCTTGAGCGAGCTGCATCCATGTTTAGTGGCGAGTGAGAGTTTGCAATTTGTGCAAGGAGACACCGTGAGCACTCCGCCCAGCATTCCCCTTCTGCGCCTTCTCCAAGAAGCAGCAAGACCTGATGCTTTCGCACCTTCTCCGCATCCTCGTAAGGTCGCAAGTCACCAGATCCTGGGCAACTGTCTCTCGCGGATGTGCAAAAGAGAGGATGGCAGCGCCTTCCCGCATCACAAGTTTGGCCTTATACAAAGCAAAGAACGAAACATAACGCATGCGTCGAGGGAAGCCCGGGAAATCCAGGGCAGGCAACGCGTCTGCTTGAATCTCTCTTTTGCACACCGTCCACGCACTGAAAGGCAGCTCCAAGTGGACCAGAACTGGGTTGGCGGCATTTCTCTTCAGCTCTGGACGTCCAAGCCATCGGGATAGCTGGCCGAAGGTGCGATGCCCAACGCGCATTTTCAAGGTGATCCTTCCAAGAAGTGCAGCGCTGCCTCATCTCTGACATCACGGCATGTGGCATTCGGTGGAACCTGCGGAGAAAAGCAGAGAAAGCAGTGAATCGAGGCAAATGTCAGGCAGAAAAATGCGTCATTTGTGCAACAGGAATAAGTAATTTGTGCAACAGCAAATAGCCACAAGCAACTGTGGGCTCCTCCAGATTGACTTCAGCAGGTCCTTCAGCCTCCTCGACAGCTTTCCTGATAGTGACCTGTTTGCTACCCGCTCAGAGTCACGCAGTTTGACTACGATAGCCTTCATGGTCTCGCTGTGTCTGGAGCCCACACTGAAGGGGACTTCTGCTGGCCTAGGCATCAGCATTGCGCGTTGAACCATCCACACCGCTTCTAGGACCTTGTGTTCATATCATGCAAACTGGAACAGAGACTGCGCAGCTACGAGATCCCCCTTCATGAGGCTCCGAAAAAATAAGGCAAGACCAAGCTCAGGTGCAGACGGCAGGTTTCGAAGTTTACAGCCTGTGAAGAATAGCGTTCGCCTGACTACAAATCCGGGCAAGCTCACTGTCAGCTGTCTGAATACATGCAAGGGCACATTGTGCAAGTGCGAACGTTTTACCTTGATCACATTTCTGCTACATCTGATGAGGTGTCTGATCACTTAGATTGCAAAATGAGTCACCTCTGGGCAATGATCTCGCCGCTGGCATACTCTTCCAGTCTGTCGCCAACCTTGCCAAATGCTCATGTTCGCCAGGCGCATCAAACATGCGACAGGCCTTGCTAACCAGCTTGCCCTCAGCCAGCACCTGCTGCTTGTGCTCTGACTTCTCTGCCAGTGCAGACTTGACCTCCATGAGCGCTGTGGAAGCACACGTGAACTGGGCAAACGCCAGAGTCAGTCAGCTTCGCAATCCAAGCCTCTGCCATGCTTGCAGTTGCTGGCAGGCTCAAGACTACCTTGTCTCCGTCAACTGCGTGGATTACCTGGGCTCAGCTCGGCATGTCTTCTTTGCAGAAGCCTTCAACCGAGAACCATATTTCTATTCTGCTTCTGCCGGCTTCCACGGCGCAAAATGCAAGCTAGCTTCAACGATTCCGGGTTCTTCTTTGCAAGTGAGCGCATTGTCTTTAGCAAAACTATCGGTTCGGACTCTGCACTGCATTCACTACGAGCGCGTGATTTCCGGTGAAGGTTTCCTGGGCCAAGGGTCAGCCTGCGAAACTTCGGGAAGCCGTCCACTTTTGACCCCAGCCGCCAGAAAGGCATTCGCAAACATGTCAACCAGCAATGCTCGTTCTAACCCTCAGGCCACGCTTGTGACCTTTCACAATCTGTGCCTTTGGAACTCAACAAAGCGAACAAGACAGCATGCGATTCGAGAAACAAAAACCAAGCGCGCCAAAGAATCCGCAAAACTTGCGCTACCTTGCACAGCTGCAGTGTGGCGCTACTTTGTTGTCCTAGGACCAACTCTGTGCATTTGCCGCCCTGAAAGGAGGCACTGCACTTGCAGTCCCGACAAATCTGCCCCCTCGCGACCAAACAATTTAGCCTTGGCACTTTCTCGTGACCTGTGTTAGAGAAATACCCAAAGTAAGCAAAGGACGTACTTGGGAGAAATCAATCATTGGAGCTCGTTCCCCACCAAACGAACATTCATCGGACTTGCATCCAGGAGGCTGAAATTAGAACTGGCAAAGGACTCAAAGCCTCGTCCTGCGACCACGGCTACGACAGCTCTCCATTCTTTCTATCCTCATGAGTTGGATAGTGCATTCTGTCAGCATTGGTTGCTTCAACCAAAAGCCTCCTTGCTTTCCTCACAAGCTGCTATCTGAACATCTCGGTCCTGCTTAGACTGTGGTGTCGATAGAACGTCCTTGGGCCCAAGCACATTGCCTACGAATTGCGGTTGTAACGACTCTTGGCGGGTTCTCACTTGCTCAAAGTGTGTCTTGAGATTGCCATGTCCTTGAGATTCTTGTGCAGAAGATCTGTTCCCTCCATGATGAAAGTCCTGCGGGTCCCAACGACCTCAGAGGAAGCGGTTGCGAGACCGACAGCTAGTGGTCCATGCTAAGAGCGGGGCGTCTTGCTCGTGCAGGCGTTGAAGCTGACCTTGAACCAACTGAGCCTGAAGTCAGAAGATCAAGCACAAGCTGGCCACAATCTCGCCAGCTTAGTGGGTAACCCCCAACAAAATTCACTCCCTACATGGCCCCAAACTGGATGCCCACCTAAGCTTTGCATTTGCATTCTGGCCAACGCTGGGAGCTTGGCCAAGCGTCCACTTTGGAAGATGTCCCAACGCTCCAAGCGCTTGGCAGCAGCAATCTGACGAAAAGGCTCGCAGGCCGGCTCAAGGCCAGGGCATTCAGTTCAGACGCATGGCAATCACCCACCTTCACATCGTGCATGGTCGAGGAGGTGTACACCATCACTTGAGCCTGTGCAAGCTGGTGATTTGCAATGGAACATTCAGGTGGCTGTTCTAACCTGTTGAACCCTCTCATGTTGTCGGTCCAACCAGTGGAAGCGCTGATATGTGACAAGACTTCACTTGCAGACTGGCAAACCAGGTCGTGCCTCCCTCTGTGCAGAAGCTTCCTGCAGGGTGACAACGACAGCTTCGCCAAAGTTCGAGCTCGCCTTGCAGAGCGAATAGTTCAGCTGAGTCACGATCAAAAACCTGGCCTACCCAGAACCATGTACATAAGGAATGAAAAAGGCAGCTCCACCCATGCATGGTTGGGATTTTCCCTAACCTTCATCTACCCGGGTTTTGATGTTCGTTTCTAAAAGCATGCTATGCCCTGGAATGAAGGTCGCTGGGACTTTGGCATCGATTGGAGAGTTGCTTCTTGTGGACTCCTGAATCTATGCAGCCATGCGCAGCCGCCAGAACTGTTGAAGATGATGTGGATAATTCTCAAAAAGTTGATGAAAACTTGCTCTCAGGCCAACTTGGCATTGTTGTTTTCGGCGTCTTCAGCTTTTGGATTCGGCCAACAGCTTTTCGTCCAGAGCAATACTGTCCTACTGCAGGTCAAGGAACGGCTTATGCAGCATCCATGGCATGGACAAGCCTGCGCAAACCTTGCGCACCTGCTGACGCCTGCTTACGCGCCAGGACCCCTCATGGTTTGCTGAATCTGATATAATATAACTAGCTTGTCTTCAAAACGGTTTCAACATCACACCTGCGACCCCTTCCCTGCTCAACTCAGCAGGTCTCAGCTCTTTCGGCGGCAAGCAAAATCAAGCAACTCTCACAAGTTACGGAGGAGAGCTTACGCGTGTGCTGACACAGCACGTTTGCCTAAACTAAGATTGCACGCGCCTACAAAACAAAAGGCTTTGCTTACTCCGGGGCCTTCCCGTGACCCGACTCTTGCTTGACAAGGTGGGTCTTTGCTTGCTCACTTGGGGGGGGCGTGCCAAGATTAGGGCCCCTTTGTGGTATTACGGTATCCCCTTTAAAAGGCGGCACAAGGCTCAACATCCGGCCTGGGCCGGGCGGCCCGGGTGGACCGCCTGCCGAAGGTCAGCACCCAGCCTGAGGCGGCTGGGAGACGACGCCTTCCACATTCGAGTCAATCAATTTCCCGGATGGTGCGCCGTTCGTACAACACAATCGACCCGCACATGGAACGCTTAGCCACTGAGTCAAATGCATGAGCACTTCTCTGCGCGAGCCAATGAGCTCGTCGTCCTTGAACGACCTCCGCCAAATCTCCGTCAGCTTTGGTCTTTGGTTTCCTCTAATTTCTCTGGGTGCATAACGCAAAGGTCATACCGCTGTCCGTTGCTGCAGACTTCCGCAACTGGCAGAAAAAACACGTGAGCAATCAATCTCGGCAAGCTTGCAATGCGGGTGACTGAGGGGCCTTGGCAGCTCTTCCGTGAAGGTCAAAAACAAGCCTGAGAAACGCTCCGGGTTGGCATGGCTTGCACATGACATGGCTATTTCAGTAAAAAAGGCCCTCGCTTGATAGACGTTGTCCGCTTCATGCCAAGTCTTTCGGCAATGGCCTTGATCCAGAACGCTTTGCTAGTGCAGACTGGCCAACATGGCCAACCCGCGACAATCCCATGCCTGCTTCACCTTTCGCATGTTGGCATCTGCCGGCACAACGACCTGGTCCAACGTGCCATCGGCTGATAGAGCAATGGGTATTAAAATATGATACTAATACATATATATATATATATATAATAATATATATATATATATATATACATTGAAATATCGCAAAGCACGCTTGCCTTCATGGACGGAGCCGGTACGCCTTCCTCCTCCTCGACAGCTTGGCGGACCGTGATGGTGACCTGAGAGCGCAAAGGCACAACGACACCTGGGTACAAATGGCATGGTAAGAGCAGTGCAGGACCTTTGGGTTCAGATCTGACTTTGGTCTCCTGGGTACGTCTGCAAACAACGCCCTTACTATTCCTGCTTGGATTCTGCTGAGCCAAAAAAAAGCGAATGCAACATGTACATCGAGCCCAAGACACAAATTCATGCTTCTGTTGTCCCGACTCCGTGGCCAATCGTTGCCACTCGCATCTAGAAAATCAGCACAACGTGAACCAAATTCTCAGTATCATGGTGCTATAACAAAACCGGCCATTCTATGTACAGCAGAACACAATGGAGGTTTAACTGAGTGCTTGTACTTGGACTAGTATTTGCGCGCACCCGCATCCATCAAGCTGGAAGGGGCATTGTCTTTGCCGTCAAAGCCATTCACACATCTTGCGGGAACTAGTGGTAGCAAGCAACTTCTTGGCACACACGCACACACAGATCGCTGTCGGCCGTTCAACTGTCAACAGGGCGGATGTCCTGTGCTCTGGATGTAGCTTTAGGTTGTGGCTCAGCTTTGGCTTTTGCCCTGTCAACTTGCACCTTCGCCTGGCACATCCGGCCCATCACACAAATCTGTGGCCTTGCAGTCACAATTTGGTGCCTCGCCCACACGTGACTTGATTGGAGCTGCAATCATTCCGCCTGTCAGCACAGCTCACCCGCATAATGTTTAGCTTCACAACCTGCCCCGGTCATATGAAACACACGGCCGCCAAAGGTACCTCATTTCCCCGGATTTGCATCGGCACTACTCCATCACGTCTCTTCCGCATCTGCTTCTTTGGGCTTTGCCAAGGGATCTACTGTTGATATGTCTACGCCACGCTCGCTTGCAGCTTCTCTTAGCCGCTTGATTTGCAACTCTAAGTCTCTAACAGCCCGTTCCACGGTGCTGTTGTCCTGCTGGTACTGCTCTAACTCCCGGTTCAATTTTCGCAGGTCATTGCCGCATGAAATCTGGTCCAACTTCCGCTTTTTATTGACCTCCTCACGTGATGCTCGAAGCTCCGTGGCCTCATTGCCCAAGAGCCTCTCGGCGCCACGGATCAAAATGTTGTGAGCAATCCATGCCTTCTTGCCCCACTGCTCCATTAGCTCCAGGTTTAAGGTCTTTACCCTGTTGTGCTCCAAGTTCATCTGCGTTGTGGCCGTAATCCTCTTCCACGCTTCTTCCTCCTCTGCTGCATCTCCCTCAGGTCGCTCCACCTCGTACTTCTTCTGGTCGATGGCGCCCAAGGGCTGGCGTATGCTAACGCGAGAGAACTCCTCCTGCATCTGGGAGCTGTTCATGAGCGGAAGCTCGGGCGCGGGCAAAGACTTCAAGTAGTCCCTGGGCTCAAAGTGAGACATCTCGTCTTCGATCAAAGACTTCACCTGGCTGCGCAATCAAAACCTCGAAAAAAACCGAAGGTTCAACCAACATGCGCGCAAAACCTCCAAGGAACCTACGAAACTTCGACCAAAACCTCCAAGCCAAAGGTTCAACCAACATGTTTAGCGGAAATCTTCGAGGAACCAACTCAATTTCGAGCCCAAACCTGCGACTTTTCTCAGCCCTTGGACTCTCGCGCCTGCTGGGCCACCTCCGCGGCTCCCAGCTGCGTATCTATGTAGGGAAGTGCGTCTACCAAGGAGTAGTGCTCATTCTCCATGTAGAGAAGATCACCCATGGCCACAACAAGGCCCAAGGCCAAAACCCAAAACCCCACGTCCAAGCTTGAGCCACGCGATCCAATGAACTCAATCACCCAAGATGGTCAACCCCCTTTTGGTTGGTATTCAAAGGGAGACCAAGAGGAATCCAACCATTTCAAGGGGACCACGATTGTGAGAAACACCCAATTGTTTCAGTCCATTGCACCACTTGCAGTGGCCTGAAGTGATTCTTAGCAGCTTGTCGATCTCCAGGCTGAGCGTGTATACTTCCGCTTCGTGCCCGACCTGATAGTCTCTATCTATCGTTTCCAAAGCTGCTGTGTGAATGCGCCTGCCTTGGCAAAAGCGGTCATCATGTTCTGTGCCGCAAAATCGCCCTCAAAGCCCCACCTGCGAAACGTGGCAGGTGGGACCTGCACCTGGTGACCTCCCTCGCAGCCTGCGCAACGTTTCCTTCTGCGCAATGCGCACCAGCTTTCCGAAGGCCTGCATCACTTGTCAGCGTCACTTGTTTGCACTCACCGCACGTGAAACATGGCAAATCAAGCGTGATCAACGACCAAAATTACCCCTACGTATGGGTGCGGGTCAACAGCTGTCTGCCAGGGGATCGCGGGTTTTAGTCCATGTTTCCATTTACCAGGGTTCCCAAAATGGGTACCTTTTAGACCAACAGCCATATCACTGCAAACCAAAGTACGCTGCACGCTCTGCAGCAAGCCTCGCGGAACTTCATCTGCGTGATGGACTCTGGCCTCACTTGTAGCTCGGGGCAGCAGTACAAGTGGAAACATTCATATCTGGGTGTGGCTCAAAAGACCGGTACCAAAATGGAACCATGGTAAGTGGAAACATGGACCAAACCCTGCGTAACCCTGGCTCTTTAATTTTGACCCCCACCCATCTGTCAAAGCCTTGACGCTACGAATCCTTGGATGCGATACCAGTGCGACTCGTTGTGCATACACTCGTCCCGGGTCGATTTATCCCGAAGGACTTGGAGCAGGGAACCATGAGCGGCCTTCGACGTTGCTACATCGAATGTCCTTTTAGCAAAGCCGCCCACTTTGATAAGCGCGCGAAATGAGCCGTCCAGGTTACTTGTCTAGAGCAATGCCCCAATTTGCGCTTTCCAATGTTTTGCACAGGATCAACGCAAAAGCACTTGTAGGACAAACGCGCTTCGCTATGCCTGCATCATTCCTGCATACCAAGCAAACTGCTTTGTTCTCTCACATCGCTCTTTCAATCATCTGAGAAAGAGGAAGATGAAGAACTGGACCGTTCAATGGGCCATGGTGCGCTTTTGCGAAGGCACACGACTCGTCGCGGACTTCTCGTGGACCGCTTTGGACTCATTTTGGGCTGTGATGGCTGTTGTTTGGTTTCTGGCTTATGCGCCGACCTTAAAGGACAAGAGACTCAAAAAAGCTCCAGGCCAGTGGCAGGAAATTGAAAGTGATAGGCGTCGCTTGATTCATCTCGTTTCATCTCGTGTTGCGTGGTTTTCTACAAACCTATCTTCTCGTTGTTGTCTTTCTCATTTTACAGCAAACTCTCTCCTTTTTATGGTATCAATACAAAATCGCGTGTCGGTTGATTGGCCGGGGCATCTGAGCTGGGATTTGGCATGAAAAAGCATGGAATGACAGATACTGATTAAGACAAATGAGAGAGAACGATGAGTGAAAATCGTAGGCCGCATGCATTGGATAGGTCTGCAGCAACTCCCCCAGCTCCAGCTGAAACTTCGGCCTCACTTCGGCCATGCGAAGTCGCTGCAAGCTGCGACGTCCTGGGATGCCCGCTGGCTGTAGGCAACAATCAGGTCTCGTTGCAGCTGCAACGCCTGCGCCGATTTGCGGACATCTCCGTGGGTATGCGGAGGGGTCTGGACTACTCTGGACTTGAATGAATTGCAACTACTCCACTGCAGCAGTTTGCAGAAACCCAAGATCTAAGCTGTCAAGACAGGCCTGCTCAAGGTTGAGGTAGATGAGCACGCCATTCCCATTCACATAGACAGTTCTCCTCACAAGTGACATGTCCTTATCCTGACTCGACTTGGACTTGCCACGTGTTTTTGCTCTTCTCTCCTTCCATTGAGAAGCTCATCACTTGGAAGAGCTTCAAAACGGCGGGCAGAGCCTTTCCCCGTGTACTTCTGGTGGCCGATTTGAATTTCCTGGCACCATCACCCGGCAACACATCGCTCGTTTCATCGCGACACATCGCCTTCTCTTTGACTTCGAGCTCCCTGGCCACCTGAGACCGAGCATTGGATCTCCGGAGTGCTGAGCGCTTTGCGGGCGTTCCGGTTGAAACGGGAAAGAATCTTCGGCCTTCTTCCGCAAGGACTCCATGCTGACCGTGTCCAGCACCTCGGCTCAATCGATTCGGCTCTTCGGGCCGCTTCTTGTTGCACCTCCAGGTACAGCCTCGCCCCAGTGCGGTGGTCTCGGACCTGCGAGTCAGAAACCAAACCACCAGAAAACCGCAGGTTTTAGTCCGTGTTTCCATTGACCAGGGTTCCCAAAACGGGTACCTATTGTTGAGCGGCACCCGCGTCAGGATTTGCCCACAACTCTCCTTTTCGTGCGACACGATCTTCCAGAAAGCGATCGAACCCGAGCGAAAACAGCGACGCCTCGAGCTTCAGCGTTTTTGGCGGACCCAAGGAGATGCCAATACAGAACAAAGCCTGCAGCTCTGGAGAAAGTGACTCGGGCCAACAGGCCCACCGCGAAGGTTGCAAAGAGTTCAGCTAGTTGATGCAACAATTTACTTGCGCCTGGGCAGCAGTGAAGCGGTGGTCATCTTCTAAGATAACGCCACTGGCATCGCAAATGTCCATTGCTTCTGGCCTTGGGTTTATTTTCCGCTTGTTCACGTACACATACGACACATCATGTATATATATGTAGAGAGAGAGAGAGGGAGAGAGAGTGAGTGTGCGTGCGATGATATATGAGCACTCGTGCATGATTTGCATTGGCACAAAATGCACTTCTGCTGAGAACCGCACGGTCCCCTCTTTAGCCTCTTGCACATAGCTCGCTTCAGCCCCATGACACTCCTTGGAAGCCGCTCGCAAGGTTTGTACAAAATATGCTGTCACGCAAAAGTAGGATGCTGTGAGTAGGACGTCCCTTTGTTCATGGTGATGCGAAGCTCTTCACCGCTGATTGCATGAGAAACCTTACACGGACAGCATGGTTTTGAAGCCTTTGCGTGCAGCCTCTGTGCAATCAGCGCGTTGACACCTTTGAGACGCCGACTGTAAAATCCACCTGGCAAATAGAACAGCTGACTGAAACTCATCTGGCAAACCGATGTGGCCTCCGCTGCTGACCTTGAACCTGCAGTACCACAAATGGTTCAACTACTGCAGCTTGAGCATCTGTGCGGTTTGCCTCCTGGCCAGTTCTCCTGGGATTGCAAGCAGCTAAGAACTGACTGCCAATCTAGTCAAATCAGCCGAGTCTCTCTTTTCGCACTGCTCGATGGTGCCGTTGTCCGTGGCCTAAGCAACAACATGTTGACCACAAAAGTGTTTGCTCAGGCTCGGTTGCAACTCTGAAGGATGGGGTACAGTACTTCACCTTAATGTATCTGCCCGTTCTGCGTGCGTCCCTAGTCATGTGTATATCTTGAGTGACCCCCGTAATGCTTATAGTTAGAAAATGGCCATTTTGGATATTGCATGTTTCAAGCCATCCTGAGACCCAATTTCGTGGTCAAAAGGGGTGGCAGAAAGGGGTGGCAGGTTTGGACGACCCTCGTTTTTGTGGTCAAAAGGGGTGGCAGAAAGGGGTGGCAGATTTGGCTGCGCCCCCTTTTGAGTGATCTGCCGCCAATTTCTGCCACCCCTTTTGACCACCAAAAAGGGCATGCCGCCAATTTCTGCCACCCCTTTTGACCACCAAAAAGGGGCGCGGCCAAATCTGCCACCCTTTTCTGCCACCCCTTTTGACCACCAAAAAGGGCATGTCGCCAATTTCTGCCACCCCTTTTGACCACCAAAAAGGGGCGCGGCCAAATCTGCCACCCTTTTCTGCCACCCCTTTTGACCACCAAAAAAGGGTGTGCCACCAATTTCTGCCACCCCTTTTGACCACCAAAAAGGGGCGCGGCCAAATCTGCCACTCTTTTCTGCCACCCCTTTTGACCACCAAAAAAGGGTGCGCCACCAATTTTGCCACCCCTTTTGACCACCAAAAAGGGGCGCGGCCAAATCTGCCACCCTTTTTTGCCACCCCTTTTGACCACCAAAAAGGGTGTGCCGCCAATTTCTGCCACCTCTTTGACCACCAAAAACAGTGGTGTTGGAGTTGGAGTGGAGTTGCAGTGTTTGAGCGCCCCTCTTTTGGTCAGCAAGGGTGGCAAAGAGTTGTTGTTTCCTTCTGGAGGATGGATGGCGTTCTCAACATGTTTCTCAACACAAGGATTGCTCAATCTGGTTCCAAGTTGGTGAAACATTGTTGCATACTCCTTACCGAGATTGACTCATTTTTGAGAACCATCAAAGTCTATTTGGCTAGCGGCTGGATTAAATCATTCACGGTAAATCCGAGCCAATCTGGTTGAGGTGGGGCGGGGGAATACACTTCGGAATAGAAATGAAATCAAGGTTAGTTAGGTTAGGTCAGGGTTTGGTCGGGGTCAGGTCAGGGTTGCCAGAACAAGGATCAGAAAGCCCCAATGGATTTCCAAACTCCGGGTCCAATCCGTATGTTGTTGGAGCATGGAAAACATGTGCGTCCCATGGCCATAATCCGATTATAAATTATGATCGACAATCCGCAAGCCGCTAAACTAACCCAAAAACTGCGCAATCCATCATTGGGCATCAGATGTTGGACAAGCTAGGAAGTCGTAAAAGTGTTTGGGTTGAGGGGACCGGGGAGGGTGATTCCGGCGCAATCCCAGTAATAGGAAAACCCTTGGGAACATGCTAGATCCCCCCCATTTGCTCGCTAATTCGGTCGTTTGCCTCGCTCCGCCTTATCGACTTCATCACCGCGGGATAGCCGGGCTGCCCAGCTGCACCCCAAAAAAGGGTGCAGGGTCAAGTTTTTCACCAGGCAGTTGATAACTCATTGATCATTGATAACTTGATAACTTTTGATAACCATTTTCGCATGTGAGCCACAATCGAAACCCAAGTAGACGAAGGTAGTAAGGATGATCCCAGCCAAAAAATAGGCGCGGCCGCCTTTTAATTTCCTTACATGAAAGGGATAGGCCGGTAGGCCATTTTGATACCAGACTTTGGCAACTTCATAGCATGTTCAATGCCTAGTCCCCAATGATAAGCGGATTGTGGATGATGTGGCTCCCTTTGGAAACTTTTAGGGTCTGTTTGGGGTTGAGGGTTGAAACTTATAGAGGGGGGGTTGTTTAGGGCTGCGCAAATGCTCCTGGGTCCTTCATCTCCGGGTTGTTGCAAGTTATTTCAGTTATTTAAATAGTATATTTCAATTTATTTCTCTGTTTTTCCGTTTTCCGGTTATTTCAAGTTATTTCTAGGAAACCCTCTGAAAATTGGCAGTTTCAGGTGTTTCAAATGCATGAATCAAAAAGCAGGTGTGGCTTGCAAAAGGCAGGAGTGAAAATCACAAACTTGGAGTGGTTCTTGGGGGAAACAATTGGAAACAAGTGTTGTTGTCCTTTTTCGTTGTTTGGACTTGCAATTGTAACATTAGTAATACAACTCTGTGCACTATGCCATTAAGCATGCAACTCTGTGCACTCGAGCGGGTATTCCACTGCTTTTACTCTCCGCAAACTTTGCGGGTTTTTGCGGGAGTTTGCGTTGTTGTTTTGCGCTGAGATTCAGGTGTGGTGTTTTCCGGTTTTGCCAATTTGTCACCCAAAGGCGCAGATTCTCACTGAGACTGACTGAGACTCTTAAAACAGTGGTAGTCTCCGGATTGTACGTTAAATTTCCATGACTTCCAAGGATTTTCCTATTACACCATCAACCCAAACACGTAGCTTGTTCAATGCCTAGTCCCCAATGATATGTGGATGATGTGGATCCCTTTGGAAACTTTCAGGGTCTGTTTGGGGTTGAGGGTTGAAACTTTATAGAGGGGTTGTTTAGGGCTGAACAATCTGAAGCTCCCACAATATGCAGAATTACTAAGAATTACGGATTAAGAAGATGACCAACCAGAACAAGGATTAAGCAGGATTACTGCGGATTGCGCTGGATTCGGATTCGTTTTGGGTTGCAAACATCGCATCACGGACTACGGATTAAGTTCGGATTAAGACGATTACCAAACAAGAGAAGGATTTGGCGGATTACGGATTGCTATTGGCCCCCAACATGTCGATCAAAGTAAAGTAGAAACCCGTTTGAAGCGCTTGAGCATCAGTGGAGAAGCTCAGAAGCTCAGGATATAGAAGCCCGTGATGGGGGCTGGGCGTCCACGATTTCGGAGCAGGACTTCCATACGCTCTGGTTCGTTGGCCCATGCACGATTCTGCATGGTAACTACAGCGACCGCCTTCACGTCGAGAAGAAGCATGAGCGGCCAATTCACCCGATGGGGTTTGGTGGATACCATGTCGGCTTCCTGTGGGTCATCCAGGAGGAGGGCGGGAACGCCCCGATGGTGGTGACGGAGCCGATTCGCGGGCCGATGACGCACGATGACGCAGCTGCTGGATTGTGCATGATGTGGGCCCCTTTGAAAACTTTTAGGGTCTGTTTAGGGTTGAGGGCTGAAACTTATAGGGGGGGTTGCTTGGGGCTGAACAAATCGGATTGCTGGCTTCTTCAAAACCAAGTCCTCAATGACTCCCGACCCCCTCTCCGCGTCCACCGCGCCGAGTTACATTTCGAGCACGACAGCCGCGCTGGCCGGGGTGGCCTTTCTAGCAGGGTTTGTGTTTTTGGGTCTAGCAGGTTTTGTTGAGATTGAGATTGATGATTCATGATTGGGGCTCAGTTTTGCGCCCAAAGAGTTGCAGGGATTGAGAACAGCAACTCCAAATTTGCAGCGCCCATCCCGAGCTTTTCTCCAGGTTGTGTGTTATTGGTTAGCTTGCTCAAATCAAACGAACAAAGTTGATTTCCGCATTAGCAATTGGAAATATGAAATATGAAGTATTGAAATATGTTGTTTTCCAGGGGTCTTCAGCAAATGCTAGGTTGCAATTTTGGGTGTGTCTCTATTTGGGGGACGCTTTGTTGGTCGTAGTCGTCCTCGTTTGGGAAACCATCAAATCCTCACTTCCTGGTGGGCCAAACGGGTCCAAACTTTTTGTTCGCTGCTAACATGGTCTTCCTAAAAAGGATGTAAAGTCCATGGAACTCGAGAAGTAAGACTTTGGGGTCCCACATCCTATGTTGAGACAAACCCATGTGCATATTGCTGCTGTAGATGGACAAAACCCCAATTTGCATTGGTGGAACTTATCCCAGCTGTGGGGCTGCATCACTTCCAAATGGTGCAGGGTATTTAGAGACTGTGGTCTTAGCTTTGCAGGGGCGATTAGTTGGTGGCAACGGACGGTAAACCACTAAAAGTTGGAGACTTTTAGCAGGGGATCTGGGAAAAGCCCAGTTTTGGCAAGTGCTTGAGACGTTTGGCTTGAGAGATTCTTGTTTTTGTGTTCAACCAGGATGTTTCTTTGACCACGTGTTTGGCTAGAAGACAGTGATGGTGGGAGATCTCCCCAGAAGGGGGGGGCAGGGCGGCCCAAAAACTGACCAGCTGAAGGGTCGTCTTTCTTTTGAATGTGATTTTTTTGTCGTTGTTTCACGTTTTTTTTTCTGGTGGAAGCAGCAGCCGGTTAGCGCGGGATTTCCCGGGCTGAACATTGTGTGGCGGTTTTCTCTCTTTTGTGACATCTTGGCGCCTTGCGAAACACAACTTTCCTTTTGGACGGATGTACGATGACTGCCTTTTTCAAAGCGGCTTCTATATGGACGCTGCCATGACGGGTGAAGATCTGTTTTTGTTCCGGCAGCCGCCATTCGCGGCTACCTTTGTGCAAAGCCTGCCAAACATGTTGCCTTCTGCCCAACCGCAAGGGCATCGATCACTTGTTATCACTTTTCGGCGCTGCCCGGTTTTGACACCTTTTCTTGCGAGTTCATGCCTTCTCCCGATTGGTGGGAGGATGTATGGTGGGGAGTTTCTATATAACTTGGCAAAGCTTTGGATGTTTTAGTTTCAACCGTTTGTCATGAGCAAACCCCGACTTGGAAGGCTTGAGAATGACCAGAATAGGCCATGATTGGAGTGACCGAGCTGGCTCAAAAAGAGCCGGGCAAAAGGCCGTCAAAACATGGTCCCTACTTTGAGGTGCATATTCAGCAAATGCTGACCATCTAGGACATCGATCATCAAACCGCTTTGGAACCTTGACTATGGGCCAAAAAGGATTAGATCATCAGATCCGGTCGATTCGCTGGCAAGGGAGCTTGTGGGGGAGTATCATACCATCTCATATGTCATATGACTCATATGACTCATATGACTCATATCACTTATCACTCACCATGAC